ACATGGGCTTCTTCGGAAGCCCTCATTCCCCTCAGTTGAGCCCGCATGCAATCTCTTCAGTGGGTTTTACAACACCAGTGGAACCTTGTTTGAGATCCATTGGATGCCACTATCCATTTCCCTCCTTCCCCTCCTGAGATTTTGCCTGATGGTTGAACAGTGACAACATCACAGTGGGTGTTCCTCTTCCTCATCCAAAGGTGCACCTCTTCATGGATGCTTATCTTTGGGTGTGTATCTGGACACATATGGAGATTTCATGATGCAGGTCTATTGCAGATTCATTTCTGCATATCAGTCTCATGGAACTGATCATTATTTGTCAGACTTTGGCTCCTTTTCCTTTGTCTCTCCAGAACTAGTTGGTTATGATCCAATCTGACAACTCAACGATTGTCTTGTATGTCATTCAGCAAGAGGGCATTCGGTCACGGTCTCTTTGTTGACACACATTGGTCCTCCTATTTTGGGCTCACAATCATCACATTTGATTGATAGCATGTCATATACTGTATCTGGCTGCATATTGTTTATCACTCCCTAACAAGATTCTCCCTACAGAGTGGTTCCTTGACTCACAGGTGTTTGGCTACCTGTGGACCCATTGGGGTGCTCTGGATCTGGATGCATTCACCACCCACCTGAATTTCAAGCTTTTCAGGTATTGGTCCCCTTTTCCTCATCCTTTGGCTGTAGCTGTCAATGCCCTCAGTCAGAATAGTGGGGGGGGGGGGGCTATTAACTCTGTGTCTATCCACTCATCTATCTTCTTCCTTCTGACCTCTCTGTCATACAAGTCACCCAGTGTCATGTCTTTTTGGTGGCACCTCTTTGTCTGGCATAGCCATTGTTTCCACTTCTGTGCTCACTTATACTGACACCACCTCTTTCTCTACCCCCTCTCACCCATCCTCCTCAAACAATCTCTTCCCTTACAATACTCTGTCTTCACATGTGGCTTTTGTCTAGTCCTTTGCCAGATGGGCCGGACTTTCTCTACAGGCTGCTTCTTTGATTTCCCATTCTGTTCACCCTTCCTCCATGTCAGCTTACCAATGTAAGTCGTATGTCTACTGCCATTGGTCTTTTCATCATGGATTTCCTCCATCCCATCCTACTCTCTCGCACTTGACTTTTTGACCAGGGGCTTTTGGTATCCACCATTACTGGCTATCTCACGGCCTTGTCAACCACTTTACATTTCACAAGATTTTTCTGTGTCTTAACCTCCAGGTTCTCACCCTTTTTTTTGTTCTCCCCCCCCCCCCTAGCCATCCCTTGCATCCTACCACCCTCCCTAATTTGAACCTCAGTGTCATCCTCCATGTCCTCAAATTTCCTCCCTTTGAGCCCATTTCATCCTGTTCCTTATTATATCTCTCTTTAAAAACCTTTTTTCCTCCTGCTTCTGTTGGTGTGTGGACATTGACTTTCGCTTTTGTTCACTCTTGATGTCTCTCAAACATTATATCACAGGTCCTATGTCATCCTCTAGTTGCATCGGTCTTTCGTGCCCAAACATCGGTTGCATATGTGGGCGATCTTCCTGTGTCCAAGATGAATGGTAGAGAACCCTCTTCCTACTATGGGCCAGATATTCGTATCATGTTTCTGTTGGTGTTGGTTGAGGTTGAACTCCCCTTTATGGTTTGCTGTGCCCACCCTTATTAGGACACATCATTTTCACAGGTGAATAGTATACCTGGCTTAGAAGTGGTGCAGTCTCCCATAGGTGTGTTTTACATACTCTTTATTCACACACTCTAAAGGATTCCCTTGGGTGCTTTGTGAAGGGAGTTCATCTAGGTAGTGTTACACCAGGTCAATGAGGGATTCCAGCTATTATGTGAGAAGAGGTAAGATATTGTATTGGAAGTTAACATTTTCCTACACTGAAAATATATATCTGATAGATTCTTAACTCTGCTCACACACTTGTCACCCTTCCTTCCCACTTCTGGTGTCTTTTCATTTTATGTTGCTCAATCTCGAAGTGAAGTAGAGTTAAGCTGCATAGAGAGATTCAGCTGTGCTAGGAGTTGTGTTGCACTCCTATTGGTGGATGGATGTCACATGCTCATTTGCATGCTATCACACAGCTGCCTCACATGTGAGTATCAAAGCTAGTGGCGGGCAAAATTTGTGCATAAAGAGAGCAAGAAAAGAAATTATGTGAGAGGAGGTAAGAATCTAGATTATCAGAAATACATTTTCAGTGTAGAAAAATGTTAACATCCTATAACCTGAGCACTTACAAAAGGTAGACTTCATAAAGGTAGTTTGCATCTTATGAAGAATGTTTACCTTTTGAAATTCCTCAAGTTATAGGATGCGGGTTTCATATTTACATCTACACATTATATGCTCTTCACATTAAACTTTTAATAAACCACTTCAGTTACGGATTGTGAACTTGAAGTAACATATAATATCAATATGTTATTGTTTGTTTGTTTTGAATTTCACACAAAGCTACACGAGGGCTATCTGCACTAGTCATTATTAATTTAGCAGTGTAAGACTAGAGGGAAGGCAGCTAGTCATCACCATCCACCACCAACTCTTGGGCTACTCTTTTACCAAGGAATAGTGGGATTGACCGTCACTTTATAATGCCTCCATAGATGAAAGGGCGAGCATGTTTGGTGTGACGGGGATTCAAACCTGCAGATTGCGAGTCGAGCACCCTAACCACCTGGCCATGCGGGCCTAATATGTTATTAAACATAACACTAGATATTAGCTAGTCCTTTAATACATGCTCAACATGCTTTATTACATGTCTCAACAATTAGTCAGTGAGGCTGTTACTGTATAAGCAGTTTCAGAGTTTAAACATGCAGAACAAAATGTTTAAATAGCATGTCCAGTGTTTCAGTATATGGTTGTTGTTGCTAATTGTTAAACAGTGACTGCATGCAAGGGATTTACAATTTCCTGGTGGGACCACCTCATGTTAGGTGAGGTAGTCTGACTGTAAAAAAAAACAAACAGTGACCATTCAGAATGGGTGCAAATGGCAAATTAGGCACTTGAAAGAACAAAACAGGTTTATGCTTGAAATTTATATAAGAATGAAAAAAAGCTCATTTAAGTATGCATATTTTATGGAATGACACCTCTCAAATGAATACAACGAAAGACATAACCGGCAAAATTCTTATACATGTATTTATACCTATATATATATATATGTGTGTATGTGTGTGTGTGTGTATATATTTATGTATTTTGTATCTAAAAAAGTAACATTTTAGTCGTCTTTTCAATAAATAATGCTGTCAAACAGTTTGAGTGAAGTACCTGTTCTAGTGGTCTAAAGGTCATTAAGTTACAGAGCTATCATTTTGTGAAGGTATTACTGTTTTGTAAGCCATTGTTATGTATTAATTATATAGTATGTTAAAAAGACATAAAAAGTTTATAACAATAAGCATGTATCATCTCCTCATGATTAGTTTTTATGCACTGTGCTATCTTTTTTATATGGGAAAGTTAATTCAGTTATGTGACATGATCTTACTAATTATATATTTGTAATAAATTTATTCATGGTAACTATATATATACATTCAGTATTTAGCATTATCCTTAACTGACAAGTTGGCATGATGGAGCATATCTGAAAATGTGCAACTTTGTTCTGTGTTTTCAGATTTCATCACTTATGTTGTGAGTATTTTAGCTGGAAAGAGTGAACAGATATATTTAAAATTTGTAGATTAGCACAACAAATGGTATTGTATGTTCAATAACAGGGTAATACAGTTAAGAGATATGTTTTAACAACTATACAATATTTTCTACCTCAGCTATTAGGTTATCAAGAAATTGTCATTGTATTTTAGATGAAAAAATCCAAAACAACTTATATATCAAAACAAAACATTTATTAAATGAAATAGTCTCCATCTTACAATCAGGTTGTTAATGCCCTGATTAAAGAAATTCTCTTTAACACCTTCCCTATTTGCATACCTTTACCCATTAAGATGGTGTTGCGGCGAACAAAAAAGATGGTAATCTGATGGTGCTATATTTGGAGAATATGGTGGGTGGGGGAGAACTTTTGAACCCAACTCCATAATCTTATGTTGCGTCAAACGTACCACATTGTCGTGGAGAAGAAGAACACCTTTCTGATTGACGAGTGAAGGGTGTTTCTGATGAAGGGTTTGATTTAAACATTCTAGTTGCTGACTATAGATCTCTGCATTGACAGTTTGTTGTGGATTGAGGAGTTCGAAATGAATTACTCCTTTGATGTCCCACCAAATGCAAAGCATCACTTTCTGTGGATGGAGTCCAGGTTTTGGGGTTAGAAGTGTTTTTTGTTTTTGGCATTTAATATTCACAAAGAGAATCTGTTTTTCATCACCGGCGACAATTCTGTCCAAAAATGGTTCGAGTGCATTACGCGCCAGAAGAGACGAAGCAAGGTTCACACCTTTGAAACTGATCATTAGATAGTTCGTGAGACACCCAAACACCTTCTTTATGGAGTTTTCCCATATTCCTTAGATGTTTACATATTGTTTCATGAGAGACATGTAGTTTCAGGGCCATTTCACAAGTGTGTTGCCATGGATTAGACTCAACATGCATCT